GCGAGGCGCTCCGCGTGGAAATGTGTTGTTCAAATGTTGGCAGTCCTGCGACAGGCAGCCGTCTGCAGGCGTCGGTGCAAGCCCGTTCCTGCACTGGACGCCACAAACAGTGATCTGGGAAGCGCTCAAATGAGCAAATTATAATCGTTCCTCGTTTCAGTAAAGAATGCTACAAACGAAATTTAATAAAAACTTGACGAAGTGACTGGATCTGAGTTATGAAAAATGGCATTTTTGAACACATTTGTCTCATTATCTTTAAAACTACTTAAGTGATAATTTTCTATTATACTTTAATTTTATTTATTTAAGATCACTTTTTTAACAACAGAGGTCATCAGCGGCCATTATTAAGCGTACATCAATGGATTACATTACAGTTTATAGTAAATGACAATTTATAACATTAGATCACATTATATTCCCTGTGATTGCAGAACGTACATTAACATCAAATTTTATTATATATTATCTTACTTTAGATAACAATTTATATTCTTTGTAGAAAGCCATTTAAGTAATAATAAATATATGTTACCAATGTAGAGTAAGTTTCATGACTCAGTATTTCCGTATAAATCCAGAAAAAAGATTGTATGAATTTTGATTTCTTCAAAAATTCAGCATATTATAAACCTGCTCCTAAAATTCACAAAAGAGACACACACACACACACACAGAGAGAGAGAGAGAAAGAGAGAGAGAGAGAGAGAGAGAGAGAGAGAGAGAGAGAGAGAGAGAGAGAGAAAGAGTTTGTCGCCCCTTAAAACAATTTTTGTGGCCCTTGTATGCATTTGGACCCGGTTGGGACCACTGTGCGATGCGACGTGGCGTGGCCCAGCGCAGCGCGGCACGCATTTGTTTCCCGCCTGCCACGACGCGACGCCACGCCGCGGATTGGAACGCGGCAAACGCCGTCAAAAGGAGACACGGCGACATCCGTGTCAGGCGTCGGGACGGCAGCGAATGGCGAGGACAGTCGTGCATTTGAAATGGCGAACGCCCGGGGACGCGACCGGGCCGGCTGGTGGCGGAAGGGAAACGCTGGATTTTTAAAATGAGTGATTATGAAAGCGGAAAATCAGATGGACGCGGCGCTGTTTCCAAGTTTTTGCCCGCGTGTTGAGTTCATCGGGCTGTGTATTTTTTGTTGTTATAAACTTGCACGCATGCAGAATTATACCCAAGGAAATATGAGTGGGGGGGGGGGGAATTAGTTAATGAATATAATCTGTTTAAATGCATTTGCTACTATAAATCGAAACAAAATAAATATGTAGTAGGCTCTTATATTATTTTCTTATACTTTTTTCTTCAATGACATTAATTAAGTTTGAGGTTCATTAATATGTTTAATTCCCCTTTCATTTATCTCTTCTTTATGTTGTTTTGCAAATGATTTATTGTGTACGCAATTTTCCTCTCCTTTCAGAAAATATAAAAAAAATGTTAGACAAATATTATGAACTAATTTGCTTCATCTCGGATTCGTCCTGCGATGAGTTCGTTATCTGATCGTGAGAATATCGTGAAAGTGTTTAATGTGTTATTTGTTTGCAGCCCGCCTGTTCCTTGATCGATCAGATACTGAATGATCGTTGTAAGAACTTCAAAGTTCTGTTCAACTCCCCCTGAACGTCAGAACATATCTCTGAACATGCCATTTCCTCATTTTTCAGCAATAGATAAGTATCTCGCTCATATGTAGCTAAACAATAACATCAAGTGAAATGTAATAGTAAACAGGCGTACTGGGCCGTGAAGTACTGGTAGGTATTTCAGGAGACTACAATCTTAAAATAAAATAAAAGAAACATTTATGGACGGGAAAATGTTTTAAACTAATGCAATTCTAAATACATAGTAATGTGATGTATTGTAAATAATAATAATAATAATAATAATAATAATAATAATAATAATAATAATAATATTAATTAGTAAAATAAAAAAGAGTATTTTGTATTAGCGGAGTGTGAAATGTTTATCACATGGTAGTATGTAATTAAGACGTAACTCCCTAAAAGGATAAATAAATATTTTACTATGTGTTGGCCGCGAAGGTTATTAGCATAAGTTGCATATGCTAAATGGGTTACTTTTCAATCACCTTGGAGCGAAAAAAGGCGGGCAATTTGAAATTTACATTTTTAATATCTTGTTACTAGTGCCGACTGCACACGGCATTCAGCATAGCATATATTTGCCTGTGTTGTAATAAAATGCAGTGAAACCTCCTTGTAATACGGCACCACTAAACAGCCAACCATCTCAATGATGTTTCAATGGACACTGAAACCCATTTATTGTCTATGCAAATTATACCTCTGTTAACGGACAACCCCTCACCCTGACCACCGATAAGTCACGTAATAGTAATTTTTTTAATGTGCAATTATTAAGAGACTACTTTCAGAAATAATACGAATAAAATAAACCGAATTTTCAGTACTTAAAATTAAAATGTACGACGTTCTAAATACCATTCGCGCGAGATGAGCTCCAGCTCAATTCCTGAGAGAATTGGAGGGCGGGGATCGTCATCCGGGAATAAAGAAACAACTAGTGCTGCTACAGAATGACACAGATTTTCCGTATTAGTTTCTATTTTTTTTGTCTCAACTCGCTATTCGGCTTTGCCACATACTCTAGCCAGCTGACATCTATCGCCACCTAAAGTACATATTTTTGACATATAATTTTGCAGGTTCCTAATTGAAAATCGAAAATATTATTTTAAGGTTATTAAAGATCAGTAAAACCTCATCTTAAATGGCAATTTTCTTTCAGATATTTGGGGCCGTTTTTAAAAAAAACTGGCGTTTAAGCGCCTTTGAACATTCAAAATTTGAAGTTCTTTTTCACAGAAAATATTTGAGTTTCCGGAAAACGTCGTTTGAAGTCATTTGAAGTACTTTAACTCACAAATACAGTAGTGTTTACAAATTGATATAAGTATGCATATCAACGGCGTGAGAGATCTTTAAAAAAATGTGATTTGTGTGATTTTTGAAAAAAAAAGACACTGAAATTAACTTTACGTCATATTAAAGTGTGCAATTACCGTTATACGATCAAAATGTTTGAAGAAAAATTTGGAGACTTTTTGAGGAAATTTTTTAAAAATGTCCAGGGCGCTTCATTAAAAGTACCCCCAAATTTTGAATAATATTTAGTTTATTATATTATGTTTAGAAGAATGAATAGGTTATTGTGTTATTATAAAACGTATAACATAATGTGTGCAAATAAGCGTTTTTTCTATTTATTTGGAGGATTAAAGGGTATCGTTTACGAGCCTCGTGAAAAAGAAAATATTATTATTACGAGTGAACATTCAGTGTTTCCGGGCGCGTTAACTATTTTGGTCGTTAGTCCCGGGAGTAAAGTCCTTGTTATAATCGGGAGATGGCGGTGTTCCTCTTCCACTTCATCGCGCCGTTGGGTTGTGACATCCAGGGTGACCACTTTTCTCTTCAAGAGCAGGCGCGACATGAGGCAGAAAGTTTTCAACTTGTGTTCTTAAGTCAGAAAGTGTTACAAATCGCTACGACGAACCCATACTACCAAGCGAAGATTTTTGGATTACTTTAATTGATGCCGACAGGTATTCTTCGTTTCAAGAAATCCCATTTCATGCTTCAGTTAAGCTTCTGATCTTTATCGAAATTATTTTGTAAAGTTATCCGTTTTTAATGCTCATTTGTCACATTTTAACGCGATTTCTACTGTAACTTATGTAAAACAAATGTATTTTGATATAATGGATATTAATGTATGTTTTTGCCAACTAATGTTTGTAAATTCATGCATACTGCCGTATTTTAAGGAATCTTCTCTCATTTAAGCCTATTTGAGTAAGAAAGTAAGAGGTATTTCATAACTTATTCTGTTATAAATATATTTTACTTTCTCGCCTACTACGTGCATACGTAGCAAAAAGAAAGTATTGTAATGCTTCTCCGGAAAGTGGCATTTTTTTATACTAAAAACTCATGCTCTCGCATCAAAAAAGTGGAAAAATATTGGTTCAGTATTATACGTTGCATATTACTGACTCGAATATCATTTATAGGTAGAATCCACGTTTTATGAAACCTTGATATCGAAAAGTTCGTTCAATGCAAAATGTTTCCGCCCGGCTTACTGTATGCGCTTCAACTGTTCGTCTATCTGTTTCTCTGTGAACTAAATCACTTACACCTTTAACACGATTTTCTCCAAAATTGATATTCCGCGGTCAAACTGACTGAATTTGAGGTCTTGTGCATTTCAAATGGATATTTTGGCTTTTTTAGGTAATTACATGAATTCCTTTCCTACATTTCCAAAAATGCTGTTAAGAGTTTATACACATACATTATATATGTATGTATGTATGTATATCGGATAGAGAAACGACGCAGAAAAGATGCCGTAGGTCCCATTTTCGTTGACCTCGTTCGACAATAGCAAAAGTTACAAACAATGCGAGAGAGTAGAATGTAGCATCAAATCTTTGTACAGATATTTGATTATACATTTGTGCCTGACTGTTGTAGTCCATTGTCCATTGTAGTGAATTTGCTTGTTATTACATCATATGTGTGAGTGCTGTAACGCGTGGGAGGCGCCTAACGCGCGTGTGCTTCGTGTGCTTGCAGCCGGCGGGCCGCCGTCCGCGCCGCCTCTCCTCGCCCCGGGCCCGCGCCCGCGCCAGCCGCCGCTTTCGTCGCCCGCGCCGCCCGCGCGTCCGCGCCCGCCAGGCCGCCCGCCCCGCCGCCGCCCCGCGCGCATGGCCGCGCTGATCGCGCCCGCGCGCTGCGCGCGGCTGCGGCGGCGGCGGCGGCCACGGCGGCCTCGGCGGGCTGCGGCGGCGGCGGGCGCGCGGCGGGCGGCGGCGGCGCGTGGCAGCGACGGGCGGCGGGCCGCGGCGGCGGGGGCGGCCGCGATGGCCGCCGCCGCCGCCGTCGCGGCTCCGACCGCCCGCCGCCTCCGCGCCCCCGCCCTGGACTACGCGCCGACTACCAGAGCGAGGCGGCTGGCTGGACTGCAATCAGCTGCCTGTGCGCGGCCGACCCCAACGCCACCGCCGCCGCCTTTCGCGACGAACATGCCACTGGCTGGCCAACGCGACGGGCCTCCGCCTGAGGAGGACCTCTCGGCAGGCCATCGTCATGGGGTCACCTCCGTCGTGCTCGGCCTCATCATCTCACACCGTCATTGTGAGTACCCCCCCCCCTCACGGTTTGATTGAGACCTTTATTCTATGTTTGGGGGACACGTTAACTGCTATGCCAACTCCCGTAAGTTTAGTTCAGGTAACGGTGTACCTTTCCAGCAAGAACCAAAGGTCGGCTTGCAGGGAGTTGCCCAACTCGTATCTCTGCCTCAGCGCGGAGAAAGCTATAAGATGTCGAAAGAGTCGTAAATGCAGTGGTAATGTATCGCGAGCATACTTGTGCGTGACGAAAAGTGAAGATGTAAAGAGAATGGGAGAAAGGGATAGGCAAAGAAAGATTATCGAGGTCTTTGTTTAATTGTTTTTTTCCGAATTTTCCAGTTATTGATTAGAGTATTTGGATCGTTTGTCACCAACGCAGGAGTCTTTCAGATTACTCTTTTTCTCTTCGTTCTTGCACCAAAAAATTGGTTAATACAAGTTTCATGAGGCTTTCGTTCGAAAGCATGATCATAGGCGTAGTGTACTTATTTTATCCAATATACAATATACACAGGTCGCAAACGCGCGTAATTTCTTATGTGCGATTAAGGCTGCAAGCAAATAAACGATTATGACCCATGTATGTAAATCTTGTATTACTATATGTAAAAATGTCTTTTGGCCAGAAAATAATCCAAAATCATGAAACTATTACTATTGTGACGTCATGGAGTATACTCACAGCGACACAACCACAGAGCGTTTCGTATAAACATATATTTATTAACAAGAAAACAAATACAAATATATACACTTAATAATTCTACTTAACCCTAGCTCTGTAAGACCTTTACTATTCCCCTGATCGCAGGGAGCGATCCAATACCCGATTGAGCATGTTTTGATTGTGGCATTCGCCACTCACTACTTTGAAGCGCGGCACAAAGCCTAAGCTTCCGTGACCGGATGTTCAGGCTGGGACCCAAAGGTTCCGTTCTGGCGCACCATAAACGGCTGGTTTGGCCTCATCGCCAGGAGCGATCTTATGCCGATGAGATTCCGGCGTTGAATCTGGCACTCAACCACTCTTCACCTCGAAGCAGCGCACACAGCATCGCTGCCCCCGATGACCGCAGTCACCCAAGACATGAACGTCCGCAGGCTTCGTCAACTAGATGACTCCAGGCTCGCCGAGCCTGGGCTCGCATATGCACCGTCTTGGCGCCAAGTTTGTGCACACGCACGAGGTTCTTCCCACCGTCTTCCAGAACCTCGCCTACTGCTCCGTACAACGCTGTTATATAGGCGAGCCCACGTGACCTCCATACGTCACGCCACCCCTCGCTTGTTATAACAGTGAAAAGCTTCTATAAGCCGGAGGACACTCAAAGGCCCTTGTGTCTCCCGTCTTCCGCGTTCTTCCCTTTACGGAAAACCCTACTCCTGTGGCGAGACTAATCCGCAACCAAGCGTCCCCAAATAGATGCCATGAGGCACGCTGGCTAATACGTTACACTATCTCCCTACAGATAGTTATACTAATTTCTATAATATTTGTTTCGAGTACACGGAAAGCCATGATTTGTCGTCGGAAGTAAATGGCGGCAAAGACCTATTCTATCCTAGCACGCTACCGTATTGTCTCTTGCATGTCAGACCGACCGAACTTTTCCACGAAACGCAATCAATCATTTGCAGCCGCACAGTTCAGAAACGCAATCAATCATTACGACTAGTTCCAACAGCTACGAAACTTACATGATTCCTCTCCGTTTATTCTTGGAAGGACGTTGGTCGATTCTCAGCTGTAGAGGCCAGAGGGTATCTCACGTTCTCCCGTGCGCTATTGGACTACAGATCCCATATCCATATTAACGTTCTCAGAAAGAAAAGGAGTAACAACAACCAAAATAAATGCAGATTTATTGATTAACTAATTGATGTTTGTGGTAAGTTTATCTCAAAATTCTTTAGTCTCATTAGTATATAGAAAGTTTACTTTTGTAAGAGTCGGTATTTCTGTCCCGCTGGATGGTAAGGTCCGGAACTGATCTACATATGGAGTTTCAATGGACTTCTGCCTTCAGGTATCTCTCCGCCGGGGAATATTCCCATCCGGAATAATCCGGACGCGCGCAATCCGCAACCCGTGATAGAGTACTGCTCCGGCATTCGCCCGGAGAAACCACGGAAAACTTCCGTTCAGAGCATCCGGCCGCTAGAATTCTCTTTCAGACAGTGGCTGAATTCGATCTCGCTGTAATGCTAGAGTCGAAAATCATCCTCCGCCGAAACTGAAACCATAGGACCTTCCGGTGTCACTGAAGTGACAGCGACCACTGAGGCTCTCAGCCAAACAGCTAGAAGTAGAGAGATCTAGAAATAACCGGAAGGAAATTATTATAAAATTAAAAACACTATATTATTTTTACTCTGATTACTTATGACAATATTTACTGATTGAAAGCAACAATACATGTTTCTGTATTTGAAGTAATACCTATAAAGTTTAACTATAAACATTAACTACATACTTTTCTTTATGTGTTTTGCACACTCTTTAATGGTATAAAGTTTTTGTGAACTGTGAAAGTATTAGAGGGTTACGAGGTTCCCAGAAAGTGGCAAAAAGTACAAAAATAACTGAAAATAACAGCGCTGTTTCTGTGAAAGACACCATTAGAATGAACTACCTCGTTAAGCGCTCGTTCACTGAAATGTGCCCGAGAATTGTTCTGCATCGCCGTAAAAATCGATGCTTAATTTGAAACCTCTAAAATTCGCGATATATGCGAAAAATGCGAGGCAATTTGAATTATTACTGTTGTCACGGCCGTCATAAATTCTATTTAACCCTCCACTCTCTCCACGTATTTTTATTGCAATGTTGGAAAACGGAATTCGGGGCACGTTACTATAGGTCACTCAGAAGCGATAGACACAGCGACATGCATCAATTACTAAGTTATCAGAACAGCAGTGGCAAATGGACGGGTTAAAATGTGGGAATAATGGCATCATTTTTTTCTCTCGGCCTACTCTTGGATGATTAATTTCGTATGAAAATGAGCGTTTATTTATATTATTTTCAAACAACTGCTAGTAATACCAATACTATATGCGTTCTTGTCGAATAACAGAATCTTCATAATAGTGAATGTGAGAAATGAGGAATTATGTGCTGCTAAACATTAATATTTTGCAATAATAAATAGTATGAACAATACTAATCTTAGAAGCGAAGGTATTTTTTTTATTGAATTCAGTTTTTTTGCCAGGTCTTTGCGCTTTGGAGGTCAGTGAGTCTTAAGGATCAGAGTCCAGATTTTAAAGTGAGACTCAATGATATTTTTAAACAGTGCAACTTGTAATACAGTTTTGAATTTTTAGAGATTTATTATTAAATATTGATTATTATGATCCACGACGTGTGAAAGAGCAATTTAAATATAACATGCACATTAAAACAAGAGCTTACATTTTCAAAATTCTTTATAATAAGTACTTTATGAAGCAATGGATTCCATGAAGTGGCTTCATACTGTTTCATTACGGAAAAAGTACACATCACAATCAATGAGTTATTTTCAATATATAAGAGAATAAAAACGAATTACGAAGACAGGGAGAAATGAGGTTTCAGCGCTATCGCCCCAGTACCACACACCGTCCCTCCCTCCGGCGTAGGTGGCTCAGGGCATCAACGTTGTTAGAGGGTTGGGTGGGTGAGAGGGTTGGGTGGGGCGGTGAGATATGCGATGCTGGTATGCGTGAGCATACCAGCCCTGAGGAAGACCACGACAGGATGGTCGAAACGTCGGCAACTCAGCCTTCGACGCGGCGTCACTCGGACAGCCCAGATCACCCACAAGGTTAATGCCGGAGCAGTACCCTAACAAACTGGCCACGGAGCGCGTGCAACCTTTTATCCTCTTCTCTATCCTATCCTCACCCTTTATTCAGACTTACATGCACTATACTACCTCATATGGCGGCAAACCAGTCGGGAGGTTAGAGCGTATCCCGATTGGAGTGGTGCCCCGCTGGTGAGAGATACCTGGTTGGGGAAAATCCGCAAACCGACGGATAGGTTGGCGCCGAATCGCACCATCCAGCAGTGGAAGATCATCACCTCCCGCGATAAAAAAATTGAACTGCACTTACGGGACTAATGTCCTTAGCCGTTGTCGTGGCCGGAAACCTAATCAGTCCCACGCCTCCCATGACGGCTTTTGGCTGCTAGATTTCCCCCTAAAGACAACGATGACAGAAAGCTGATCTACAGTGCACAAGTCAGTTACTGTCGCTGTACTTTCTCCAGCAAACTGCACGAAAGAGAGTTGATAGAAAACTGGCTGAATTTTGTTCTTGCTGCGTGCGCTTTTACGTTTAATTTTTAGATTTATTCTGGTCGGTCAGGAGATTGTAACGGAAAAATTAATTATTTAAAACTCATTATTAAAATATTCTTTGATTTGGTTTATTTTATGTTTTTTAAGGTTTGAGACCGAACAGAAGACAATAATGTTCAGAACAATCAAGTGCCTTCGTGTAATCACGCAGAAAACATTTGTAGTTATGCTGAGTGTATCTTGATCTGAGATACGAATGTGAATACCACTTTCCATACCGCAAAGTTACCTCCAACTTCGGCCGTTCAAAAAGAGCCTTTTGATCATTAGTGTCATACTTGTTATGAATCTCTTTAAATACGTTCTAAAAGAAACATTAAAGTTTCTAAGTCTTTGACACATGACTACTATAAACGCGCAACTGTGCATAATATAAGTACGTACATACACCAAGTTTTATAAAAGTCTCATAATGAGCAACTTTCTTCGAAAAATCTTTTTGTATGTAAATGGATACAATTGATCAACTAATATCTTCTTCTCCTATGTGATTGTCGATGATTAAAGGATATCAAAATAAATATATCATTTTCGACTGTGTTATAATAGCATCGAATGTCAAAAATGTTGCTCCTTGAAAGTGGTATATTAATAATATGTATCATTCTTCAGGCATTACGATTTAATTAAATATTTATTTTCTAGTTTA